GTTTTACATCCAAAAACAGTCTAGCCAAGCTGCTAGTATGAATGGAGGAAAGGGAAGCAGACAAATGCCATTCTGATCTAGTTGTTGGCTCAAAATCACTCCCTCATTGCCACTGAGCTGTTTTTCTGCCTATATTTTGGGAAAGTTCTGGGAAAGTTGTTTCTCTCCCCCTTTGCTGCTATGCTTGATAAAAAGCAGTGTGGGAGAGGGCAGGTTTCTGAGCAAAGGCACAATCAGAACAGAAACTGCCTGCCTTTGTTGCTCTTACTTCCTCTTAGAAGTACGGTAATCTGATCAGGTTGCTTTGGGTTAAAATAATAGATTGTGGAATTCAAGCCAGTTTCCTGCAGCAGATGCCCTTTAAAACATAAACTCGCACATGCAAACACAGGCTCAATGCGGGTGAGAAACAAACTACTTTGGTCTCCTGAAAAGGGTGGTTCTTCTCAAGCTGCATCTTCCCCATAGAAATAATGCACCACTTGAACTGCCAGGGCTCCATCCTACAGGATCCTGGGATCTGTAGTTTTGTGAGGCACCAGCACTCTTTGGCAGAGAAGGCTGGTAAAACTTCATATCCCAAGATTCTATAGGATGGAGCTACAGCACTTAAAGTGGTATCAAATTGCATTATTTCTCCAGTGTACAGTAGATGAAATGTAGAATTTAACCATTTCCTTCCATGATAAATATCATTTCTGACTTTTGGTGACCCTGAGGCAAACCTATCATGAGGTTTTCTTGGCAAGATTTGTTCAGAGAAGGTTTGCCATTCCCTTTCCCTGAGGCTGAGAGAGTGTGACTTACCCAACGTCACCCAATGAGTTTCATGGATAAGATGGGAACTGAACCCTGATCTCCAGAGGCATAGTCCAACACTCAGACTACTACATTGGTGGGACTCATGTATCCCTCCAGTTGCTATTGAACTGTATCTCCCAATATCCCTCACCATTGGCTGTGCTGGTTAGGGCTGATGGAACTTGCAGTCCAACACCATCTGGAAGGCCACATGCTGCCCTCGGCTGTATTAAAAACTCCATCAAGCAGAGAAGATTTGAGATCTGAAAGGATCCATTTTTTAAAAAATAAGTGAAGTCTCCCCATTTTGACAATAAATGGGAAGAGGGCCATTTTATGATCATTCTGAGTTCTTTGCAAGGAAAGCTGAGATGTGGATGTTAAAAAATAAATAAAATTTAAATGCATATGTATCAAGTGATGCTTTCCTTCATCAACAGTCTCTATGTTCTGGGAAAGCTTCACCGGTTGAATTCCTGCCTTAAACTCTCAGAGGAAAAGCAATGGCTGGCAAGTGATCCCAAGCACCCACCTCTTCCCATCTCTTCTCTCAAGGGCGTGTTTGTCTTGTTCTATTTGGGAACGCCACACTTCTGTTCCTGCCATAAATAAATTGCTTATTGGCTGCTCAGCGTGGCCCTGGGGCCATTTCATCATCTGTTGGAAAAAGCTGTAAGAAGGGTAGAAAGAAAGAAAGAAAGAAATGGGAAGAAGGAGGAGAGAGATTCTCACTCACCTCTCCAGTCCCTTTTCTTACTCTTCCCACCCAAATCTTAAAGACCCACCATTGCTCTCAATCAAAGGGAAGGTAAAAGTGTGGTAAGGTAGGGAGAGAAAGAAAAGAGACATGCAAACCTCACCCCAAATCGCAGCATTGCATAAAGCAGAACAGCTGCTGTTGTATCAAGAAATCCAGCTACACTGCAGTTGGGGTATGAGCCTGTCATAGTTAACAATGCATAATGATAGAGTGCTGTTTGAAAATGGCAGCCGCCGCTATTAACCTGATTTGTTTGTTATAGGATAATGATGGAGGGCAATTCTGTGATTTCACTTAAATACTCCAAGGGTTTAAGGGCTGCCTCTAAACAGCACCATATATGTGTGTGTGTGTGTGTGTGTATGTGTGTGTGTGTGTATATATATATATATATATAAAACACACACAGAGTCAGCCCTCCATTTTCACAGGCGATCCATTCTGCCGCCGTCCCGAAAACAGAGATTCGCAAATATTCAAGCCCCATAGGCTTGAATGGGACGCATCCCATTGATTTTAATGGAGGTCACCCCTCTGTGAATATGTAAAACCACAGACCTCATGTCTGCAAGAACAGAGGGGTGACTGTATAATATGTGTTATACATACACATACACACACACACACACACACACATTATATATATATATATATATATAGAGAGAGAGAGAGAGAGAGAGAGAGAGAGAGAGAGACCTCTTTGGATATGCCCCTTTCTTTTCTAAGAGCATTCTGCATATACTCCAAACTGTCCTGGATTTGGCAGGGTCAGTCCTGATTATTCCTCTGTCGTCTCACTTTTTCAGCTGCTTCTACAATGTCCCAGTTTTTCTCTCTCTGATCTAAAAGTAGCTCTCCAAATCTCTCTGCAGGAAGTTAAAAACCGTATATCTACCACTCTCTAGCGATAAAACAAATACAGTACTAAAAAATATTAAACACCTCAATAGCATTTAGCATGTACATTTCTATACTGCTTCACAGTGAACTCACCACTAAGCGGTTTACACTCTGTAAGCCAATTGCCCCCAACAAGCTGGGGACTCATTTTACCGAACCTCCAAAAGGAAAGAAGATTGAGTCAACCTTGGAGCCCTGGGATCGAACTCACAACCTTGTGGCTACACTACAGGTATTTAATCACTGTGCCACCAGGGCTCCTATACAATTAAACCTTAACTATTTGCTGCCCTTCCGTGACTCCAAAATGTGCTGCCTGAGGCCGCTGTCCCACTGGCCGGCCCTGCTTATACTGAGTGGGACCATTACCCCATTTATTATAACCCCTGATTGTCCACAGTTTACCAGGGTTTCAGAAAGATTTCTTAACCAGCCTTCCTTGTAAATGCCAAAGATTGAACTTAAGACCTGTTGCATGCAAAGCACACACTCTTCCACTGAGCGATGGCCCCTCCTGCTAAATATATTATATAAGCCCATAAATGCCAGGAAGATCTTTAAAATGTTGCTCAGCAAAACAAAGAACAGAGTCTTTCCTCCTGCCCCTCTTGACAGGGCTGAGATATTGGGCTTTTGGTAACTGCGCATTCCCCCATCAACCCACCCTTCCTCCCCTAAAGGCTAGTTTTGTAGCTCAAAAACCAACTGCTTGGGGAGCTTTAATATAATACTACAGCTACCAAGGGCATTGTAATCAGATCAGATTTTTGCAGGGGTAGTTTGAAAGCAAAGTGTATTGTAAATCTGATCCAGTTGCCATGCGGTTGCTGTTCTACAATGGAGTGGAACAGAATCCAGCCCTGAACAGATGGTGAGATTCCATCTTGAATGAGTCAGATGCACACCTGGCACATACCTTGAAAAGTATGGAAGCTGGATTTATTTCTCTGGGCAATGTTTTCTGCTGCCTGTCATGCCAGGAAGGTTTCCTTTTCGTGCACTGAAATTGGATTTTTAAAAAACCGGAATGATCACCCAAATCACATTGTCTATTATGGGCAATTTGAAACCATGCCAGAGAGTAAAGGCCAAAATGTCATTGGTAGATGACTATTATGAACGGAATAGATGTTTCCTTTCCTTTCCTTTCCTTCCCTTCCTTTCCCTCTTTTTGTGAAAGGATGGTTTAGTATAGAGAGCAGTAGTTCCATACCATCCAGGTGTCCTGTTTTGTCAGGGATAGTCCGGAATAATCATCTGCTGTCCCAGTTTATCAGCTGTTTTTAAAATATCCCAGTTTCCCTTTCTTCCTCCCACTTTCCCCCTTTGTCCTCAACTTACATCAAGATCAGAATTCAAAATGACCTTCACAGATGTGAGTGCTAGGCCAAAAGCAACAAAATGAATTTCAGCCAGTCAAAACATAAGGCACTACATCTAGGGAGGAAAAATAAAATGCACAAATATGCGATGGGTGACATCTGGCTTGAAAGCAATACATGCAAAAAGGATCTAGAGGTCTTACTAGAAGAGCACAGGCTAATAAACATGAGGCAACAGCAAGATGAGACAACAAAAAAGCCAATGCCATTCTAGGTTGCATCAATAGGAGTATAGTGTCCAGATTAAGGGAAATAGAAGAGTCACTGTATTCAGCTTTACTCAGATCTTACCTGGAAAACTGTGTCCAGTTCTGAGAACCACGGTTCAAGAATGGTATCAACAAGCTGGAATGTGTCCAGAGAACGGCAACCAAGATGTTCAAAGGTCTGGAAACCAAGCCTTATGAGGAACTTCTTAAGGAGCCAGATATGTTTAGCTTGGAGAAGAAGAAACTGAGATGTTAGCCATCTTTAAATATCTGAAGAGATGTCATATAGAAGATGGAGCAAACTTGCTTTCTGTTGTTCCAGGGACTAGAATATGAACCAATGGATTCAAATTAAAAGAAAAGAGATTCCATGTAGACATTAGGAATAACTTCTTGACCGTAAGAGCTGTTTGACAGTGGATTAGACTGCCTCAGAGAGTGGTTAACTCTCCTTTGGAGGTCTGTAAACAAAGATTGGATGGGCATCTTTCAGGAGTGTTTAGTTGTATATTCTTGCATGGCAGAGAGTTGGATTAGATGGCCATTGAGGTACCTTCCAACTCTAAGATTCAGCCACAGAGCTTGGAATTCCTGACCTCAAGGGTAAATGTGATGTCCAAATCCTACAACCATCTTTTCTCTGCAGCCATCTTTTCTCTGCCGTTGTCTTCCTCTTGTGCAAACTAACATGAGTTCTGGAAACTGCATTTCCCCCTCTCTCTTCAAAATAAGTTTTCCTGCCATTGAGCTGTAATATCCAGGTTAAGTCCCAGGAATGTATGTAATTGCTTCAGGAACTGCTGCTTCAGTGGCTTGTCATGCTGAAGCATCACTTTGTCTAGGCCATTGGGTTTCTTCAGTTGGAAACAATTTCCAAGCTCTGGCACAAGGTAGCCAGGGAGTGGCAATAACACCAGCAACATGGGTAACTTAGCAAAGCAACTTGCAATGGGAATACTTATTAGATTTCACCCCCTAGAACCACAATAGGTTGATAAGCGGTAACCAGCTACAGTGGTTTAAGGATCTTAAATGTTCCCAGAACATCTCCCAGATGTATAAAGTGACTCTGGCTTTATCCTTGACTGCCATG